CCCCCCCCCCTCCCCCTAAGGCAAAATTGTTCAGTTTTTTAATTCGGATGGTCTCTAGCCTATTCAGAGGATACAATAGACTCAAGAAACCATTAAAGAATCTTATAGGCGACCAACAAACCCGGGTGTCAAAACATGGCGAAAGAATCGGTTTAATGCGACTCTCCGACGCTGAAATCGGTGGCGTAAATACCCCCCCCCCCCCCCCCCCCNCCCCCCCCCTCCCCATAAGGCAAAATTGTTCAGTTCACACTACCAATTATACGCCGAATTGGCAACTTTACCCCCAAAATGGGGGGTCAAACTTCGAGATGGGAAGAAACGCCCATTGACACTTTTGATCAGTAGGTTAAGACCTACAACATATCAAAAGCGCAGCCGAATTAACCGGGCCCACTTTTCCCATAAGACCGGTCCGTCGTCCTTTCCGCCAAAAGGACCGTAACCTTTCATTTCTACCGCAGAATGACACTTTAAAAATGCATAAATTCAAACTTTGCACTTGGGCCCTTTTTCCCCGTGAGAGGTGGGTTATAATTAAAATTTTGGAATTTTTCAAAAAGTATGTTTATTTTTACACCAGAGAGAAACTTTTTAGAGGTAGCGCTTTTCGGATTTCGAAAAACCCAAAAATAAGACACACCCTACCTTGTTGCCTGAAATGCTGTTGTCCCAGATTCGTCCTTCGTGCCCGAAGTCTTCACGCCACCTCATGATTCTTCTGCCGCGAGTCTCGCCACCAAATTCTGAAGAGTCTTCTCCCTCGCTTCCGTTGATTCCCAAGACGTGGCAAAGTACCTGAAACTTTCCGGGAGAGATACAAGCACTTTAGAGATCAACATGTCGTCGCTAATCTTGCATTCTGTCTGAGCCAGTTGATACGCCAGGTTCTGCAGTTTCCCGATTTGATCCACCAGTTTTCCTTTCGTCATCCTGAACCCATAGAACTCCTGAAGTAGGTTGCATCTCCTTTGTGCCGTATTTCTCTCGTAAAGCTCAAGCAACTTTGTCCACATCTGGAAACTCGTTGTCGCTGTCATGATGTGCGTCAAGATTCCCGTCTCCACAGTTTGGATGAGAATTCTGTGCCTGCATGTCCTCAAGATCCCATTGGTGCGCTTCCTCTGCATTCGTTGATGATCTCGCTTGCCTCCCTTCTACAGTGCTGAAGGCTTCCTTATCCTTAAGCAAGATCGTCACCTGAAACTTCCATATATGTAAGTTGTCTTCACCCCTAAGTTTCTCGATTTTGATGAATGTGTTCTCCATCTTGGCTGCTATCTTGAGTTTGGCGCCCGCTCTCTGCTCCTGGACCTCACATCAGATGTCCACCTGCTAGAACCGCCCAAAACTCCCTCTGGATGCCGGCTGCCTTAGAGACGCTGTCCTGGAATGGTAGATGTAACCCTTTTGAGTTCTTGTACCTCTGCTCGTAGCCTTTTCTGAGTCCTATAGTTCAATTTGCACCGCTAAACCAAAAGTAAGCCAGTACTAGTGCGATGATCAGTCCGTACAAGATGTAGTTGTGATGGTCCACTGCAACCTCCTGCCCCACGATTTGAGTCTGAGTGTTGATGTTCTCCTTAGATTCTTCACTAGACGAGTCGAACCAGTCCATTGGATAAGTGGCTTATAATTTCGGTTCGGTGCAAACTTGAACGAAGACAAAGATACCAGCTATCTGCAGAGTTACTTACTCATGATGACTGTAGGGACTGCTGTAGTGACTGGGCCCATAACCTGTCATTATGTATAGGCGGGAGAAGGGGGAAAAGGACGGCACACAGAGAATAACGCCAGTAAAATCGGCTTTTCGTACGAACAAACTTTCTTCACAAAACAGATACTTATATACAGGTAATTGTCCTTGGTCAACACTCGCAGGTGAGGTGCATGCACCAATATTGAAGAGAAAACATTAAACATAGAAAGGTCCTTCAACACTTATCAGTTGTTGCCATATTTCATGACAATTTTTTTTAGTCTATTCTATCCTCTGAATAGGCTAGGAACCCTCCGAATTAAAAAAATTGAACCATGTTGCCATATGCGGGAGAGGGGGGGGGGTTGTTGACGCTACCAATTTCAGCGTTAGCAAGTCGCATTAAACCGATTCTTTCGCCATGTTTTGGAGAATATTTTATGCAAATGATTCCGACTACATCTTGGAAGGTTGACCAAGATGCACCTCAGAATATTCCCGTAGGGAGGGGGGTGGAGGCGGCGAAGCGCGCGACCGAATTTGAGCAGCGAAACTGGCTTGCATCAAACCGACACTGCTACCATGTTTTGGGGACTTTTTAAAGCAAATTATTCTGACTGCATCTTGAAAGATTGACGGAGATGCATCTTAGAATATACCCTCACAAAGAGGGGGGAGGGGGCGAAGCGCGTGACAGAACTCGCCATGTTTTTGGATACTTTTTTATGGCAATGAGGCCGACTGCATCTCGGTAGGTCGACTGAGATGCAGTAGATACAGAATATGTTGCAAGGGTAAGGAGGCCTCTCAATCCGCACGCTCCGTCGCAATGTAGGATTTCTCAGCATAAGTCAGTGTGGCACTCACATTATTATAGTGGCACTTTTACCGAGACTAGTACGACTGAAACTTAATACCATTTAATGCCTTCAATTTCAGCATTTCCTCGTGCAATTCAGAATTTTGGTAAAGGGAGGGGTTAGTTACTTTTGGAAAGAAAACAATGTTAAAAAGAAAGAAAAAAAAATCACCGTTTGTCCCCTTAATTTTTCCGATTAAGTGAAAAATCACAACAAGCTCGCCTCACTCAATCCAATGAGAACTTCCAGGATTTGATCAATTACTCAAGGACTGCCAGTAGGAAGCATCTCGGTGGACCTACCAAGATACAGTCGGCCTCATTAGCATAAGAAAGTTTCCAAAAACGTGTATGGTGTCAGCATCAGTTTGATACGATTCGCACAAGCGTGTTTCACTGCTCGAGTTCTGTCACACGCTTCGCCCCCCCTCCCCTTGGAGTATATTCTGAGCTGCATCTCAGTCGACCTCTCAAGAAGCAGCCAGAGTAATTTGCATAAAAAGTTCTTCAAAGTATGGCAGAAGCATCAGTTTGATCCGACCCCCGCAAGCCAGTTTTTCTGCTCCAGTTCGGTCGCCCCACCCTCCTCCCAGGGTATATTCTGAGCTGCATCCTAGTCAACCTTCCAAGATGCAGTCCGAATCATTTGCATAAAAATTCTCCACAACATGGCGAAAGAATCGGTTTAACGCGACTTGCTAACGCTGTAATTGGTGGCATCAACAACCCCCCCCCCTCTCTCCCACAAGTGGCAACATGGTTCTGTTTTTTTAATTCGGAGGGTCCCTAGCCTATTCAGAGGATAGCATAGACTCAACAAAACAGTAAAGAATCTCAAATGCGACGAATGAACCTGGGTGTCATAACTACAAAGCACACGCTGAATTGTGAACTTTGACCCCCAAAATGGAGGGTAAAACTTCAAGATAGGAAGAAAAAGCCCATTGACACTTTGGATCAGTAGGTTAGGACCTACAACATATCAAGGAACCAGCTGATTTAACCGGGCCCACTTTTCCCATAAGGTTGGACCATCGTCTTTTCTTTGCATATCTTGGTTTTATCAAACTTTCTGCAGAAGTTAGAGTGAAAGCTTTTGATTAAGATACACCATGTTTTTTGAATCGACTTTATCGGGAAAATGTTCTTGAGGGTTTTCCAGATATATCAGTGTAAGATGATACAGATAATCTCAGAGTTGAACATGCACTTTTTTCAAGTTTGAAAAATTATCATGCAAGCATGGCCTATGAATTTCCACACACTAAGCAGGAGTGCAATGCCCCAGCAATTTCAATGTCCTTCACCATAACGTCTAATTGCTCTTGAACTAGTTATGACGGATGATTAAAAAATTTCAAATATACCTTTGTAGTTTCATCATCTGGATACTTCCAATACGATATTTTATCTCCTTCCAACGCACACCATCGACGGTGCCACGCTCCAAAACCAGATACGTCTTCAAACATGGTTAAAAAACCATGATATTCGATGGAGGGTGACAGCTCACAGCTAATTTTAAGTTGTACAACTCCTTCCAGAGGACTTATATATGTGACCTTTAAAAAAACCAGATTAAAGAATAATTTAGCAAGGACTGGTAGTAAGGGTTCTGTTCCTTGACAGTCACACTAAAAACTAGGGCTTTACAACTCTCTTTCATTTTAAAAGTGTTTGAAAAGGAATCAAAAAAGACTTTGTCATATATTATGCTAATGCTCAAACAGGGTGTCCCAAAAGTCCGTCCCACCCCTCCTAACTTTTGAACGGATTCAGCTAGGGTAATGAAACTTTGGGAATGATTGAATTTGACCGTTTAAATTTCGTTTTTTTTTAACTTTTCCCGAAATTTGGGGACTTGCCACGTAATTTTGAACTGATTTTGACCTTTTTCGGCAAATCTAGGGGAAATTGGCTTATTTCGTATTTGGGGGTCCGAGCCCCCCCCCCCCCTAAAATTAAAACGAAGTGATTTCTGCTATTTTTACTTAAAAGCGGACACAATTTGGTAAATTTTCCCGTTTTATTTTTTTCTTTACGATAATTTGAACCGGAGTTATGATTTTTTGAAAATAGGTCAAATTTGACCTTTGACCTATCATCACTCGGTCAAAAATTAAGATATTGATCTGCGGTTTGCGCCAAAATTCTTAGTTTTTTATGTTCTTTCGAATGAGGTATCACAAGATAGGGGTTGCCGTTTGAAAAAAAAAAGTTGGGGGCCCCCTGTACGCGCCTCTACCGCGCAAGTTCTGATGCCGCGTCGCGACGACGTCGACCGCGGCCAGCCTCGGCGGCGCTCCCCGAGAGAGCGCTCGCGTCGCCAAGGTGGTTTATGTTTTATTAAGGTCCTTTTATTTTGTTTACGGAAGGAAAGTAATGATTTGTCTGGTTCCCAGAGTTGTATATAAATGTAAATAAAGCAAAGAAGGTTTCAAGGTTAAAGGTGTTTAAGTTCTTTTCTCAGTATTACTTTTTGTTCTTCAACGTCCTATGCCGGGCGCGGGATACCGATTTACCCACGTCCTAGGTGCACGCCGATACAAGCGCTATTTCATCGCCACTCACCGAGCAGCTACCAACCGCTACACATCTCCAAGGTCCGCCCGGCATTGCAGCGTTTTTAATGTAAGGTTTCCCCGGCACGCCCGGTGTCAATGCAGGTAAATCCCCGGTACGCCCGGTGTTTTAGTTCCTAAGCCCCGGTTAGCCCGGAGAGTTAAGATAGGGACCCCGGTTCGCCCGGAGAGTAGTTTAGGGAGCCCGGCTAGCCCGGTGAACTGCAGTATAGGGACCCCGGCTCGAGCCCGGTGTTAGCTAGGAACCCCAGCTCAAGGGAGCTGAAGCCAGGCCCGCGCGCTCTTGGTAGCTTTTCATATCTGTAAATTAAAGTAGGGATTAAGACCCCAACATAATGGTCCTTCGAGTCGTTTTAATGAATTAGTCCTGGACACCCCCCGCGCCCTCCCTGAGGGGGGGGACCAAAATTTCGACCCCCCCCAAACATGGTCCCCTTTGAGATGGGAACATTCCAAAAGTTTCATTACCCTAGCTGAATTCGTTCAAAAGTTAGCAGGGGTGAGACGGACTTTTGGTACACCCTGTATGTTAAGGCAAAAATTTGGAGGAAAAGAAGGGGATTGGGGGCTTTCCATAAACTTGTAGCACAGATCTTCTTTAGCAAGTAAAGTATGCGCAGGTCAACATCCTATCCCATTTTTGTCCTACGTTACAATTAATTAAATAACCAAATAATGGAGCTTAACAGTTGAGAGCCTAGATAGATAGATAAGATTTTTATTCTTTTCCACAATTTCCATAATACACAAAGCTGCAATAACTAGAAAATCACCTCCCAAGGCATTTGCCGTCCAGGGGATTCCACGCAATTTTACAACTTTTTACAACATCCAAATATCCAATTTCAAATAAGCACATACTTGGACCCATGCATAGTAAAAAATTGAAAATAAAAAAAAAAAAAAAAGCAGTGAACTCCAACACAATGTGTTGATAACGCGCGTCATTAACTCGCACAAATCGACCCCTTTAGTTTTCATTTACAGAGATTTCAAAATAGGCAAGTAGCACAACAAGAGAATTCATACGATCCAACACTTCAACGACGCACTTTGACGAGACCCTGTATTGTGAATGTAGAAAGCTACTCGAACGAATTTAAGTTTTTTGATCTGCCTGAAGCAAAATCTTATCAGATTCTTGAAGAAAAGTGCTGCGGAATAATTTAAGCTAAGAAAGGAAAAATTCTGTCAAACTCCTGAAAGATAAAGTCGATTTAAAGGTATTTTGGGGCTAAAATACCCAAGTCACCGGCATTATAAATCCAGTTACATTATTGAAAAGAAATTGACTCGATATAAATGCAATTGCATTAGATATGTCTTGATTTTGTAACTTTAAACGTATTTCCATGCAAAGAAGTTCAACCATGTCCATGCTTTATTCATTCATGAATTGAAAGTAAGCAATCTACATCCCGAAAATCTACCGATCTGCCGTAAAAAATTGCAGAAACTTGATGTACCAAGTCGATGCACCCACTCGTTGAATTTACCAACCAATTTCGTGAGTGCAAATATGTAAAAATCAATATGCTATAGTCATTTTGGGTGCATTTACTTTTCATGAAACAATAATAAATTCAATCCCGAAAAACCATCAATTTTCCGTATAAATTCGAAAAAATCGAAATGTGTCGACTCCCTGACGTAAACATTAGATTCTACGTGTTAAAATACTTACGTGCCGATGTGCTGAACAGAAACCATGTGTGGACACAGTTAGCAGTCCTCGGCAACATCCATTCAACAGAATAATGGCAAAAATTAGATCGGATTTTAGCCGCTTTGCCCGCCTCTCCTCGTTATTTACAAACCGTTCCTATACTCATCTCAAAATTTTTCTCAGAGCTTTGTGTTATTATCAGCTTCCATTTAAATCCCGGTTCGATGACCGAATCGGCTGCCCAAAAAGCAAGCCATTTTTGAAAGGTTCTATGAGAAATTCGTGATATTATCGGCTCTCAGGAAATCACCCCATGGCTAAAATTGGTGGTATAAATATTTGAGTGCTTAAAATAATCGTATTGAAGAAACTAAGGCATTAGACTATGAAGTCAATTTCGTTTTAATAATATAACGGGATTTACTACCGGTGAGTTAGCTATTATAGCCCCAGAATACTTTTAAAGCGCCTTTTCTTTCCAGAATCTTGACGGAATTTTTTTTTGGCTTAAACGACTCAAGAGACAATGTAGGTAAAAATTTAAAGAATTCTCGATTTTGACAAAAAAAATGTTCGTTCAGGCACACCGTGTATTGTATGGAGTACTGCTGCTATTCAAACCTTGTCTTCAGGTCAAAATTCTTACAAGGAAGCCCCTTGCAAAAGGCGAATTTTTTGTAATTTCTCCCAATTTTTTCTCCATTATATAATTGAATTGCTTGTCAAATTCTGAGGTCAATTATATTTAATTGTAATTTATACATTTCTTTTTTTCCCTTCATTTTATTTTTTGTCTGGAGAAGTTTCGTTGATTTCCTCGGATTTCGAATACTGTAACTTTTCTTCTACGAGGGGCGTTCAATAAGTAAATATCCCCCCTCTCTAAAATCCATTAGAATGGACCAATTTTAAAAAACTTGGGCTCAAAATCTTCCTTAGGATATTTTGAGTTCAACAAAACAAACCGCAACAAAATCGGACTATATGCGGCCGAAGGCGAGCCGTTTGAACGCGCCGAGGTACTCAACGCTCCCGCCGAATCCGCGGGGATTTGAAGTTCACTACAGGAGAAGAGCTCTGCCTAAGCTTCAGTCGTTCATCACTGACGAAAAGTCAAAGAAATTTTTGTAGAATAAGGGGTTTACCTCACTTCTCCACAGAACCAGCTCGATCCAAGCAGGTCTGATACTGAGACCAAGAGAATAGCTTCTGGATGCCACGCGCGTGGAAGTCTTTCAGCTGACCGGGGATGAAAGAGTGGACGGCTTGTTTGACCTCTTCCACTGATTCAACATTAACTCCTCCGAGTTCAGATTTCAGATACGATAATAAATGGCAAACCAGACCACCATTTATTCCCGTTCCTGAAATCTGAACTCGGAGGAGTTAATGTTGAATCAGTGGAAGAGGTCAAACAAGCCGTCCACTCTTTCATCCCCGGTCAGCTGAAAGACTTCCACGCGCGTGGCATCCAGAAGCTATTCTCTTGGTCTCAGTATCAGACCTGCTTGGATCAAGCTGGTTCTGTGGAGAAGTGAGGTGAACCCCTTATTCTACAAAAATTTCTTTGATTTTTCGTCAGTGATGAACGACTGAGGCTTAGGCAGAGAAGCTCTTCTCCTGTAGCGAACTTCAAATCCCCGCGGATTCGGCGGGAGCGTCGAGCACCTCGGCGCGTTCAAACGGCTCGCGTTCGGCCGCACATAGTCCGATTTTGTTGCGGTTTGTTTTGTTGAACTCAAAATATCCTAAGGAAGATTTTGAGTCCAAGTTTTTTAAAATTGGTCTATTCTAATGGATTTTTGAGAGGGGGGATACTTACTTATTGAACGCCCCTCGTATTTGGCCGATTTTTATGAAGGAGACCTCTTTTAATTCGTCTTTTAACGGAGAGTAAGGAAAAAATTGCTAAGTACACGCGAAACAATTTTTTTGAAAATTGGACGAATCCTAGCGTGACGGTGAAATGGTTGATCAAGCGTAAAATCAAGGGTGAGGGTCCGGGTCGGGTCGCTCGGGAGGACAAAAGAAACTGCCTCGGTGTCGGGACAGAGATCCGTGTGCGGGGAGGAGAAGGGTAAGTGGATTTCTGTAGAAGCAAACTGATTTCTGTATGTGTTATGGTTAGCACATAGTCTAATGAGTTTTGAGGCTCATCACAGATTGCACTTACGGTTGTCTTGGCTGGCCCTCGCTATCAGAGCAGTGGTACCAAATTTTGAAAAGCATAACAGGGGTGTAGATATCTGTCTATGCAACGTTTTAAACGAAACGAAGGAGTGAAATTCTCATTCGAAGAGGTCTACTCAGCAAT